GAACAAGCCTCAAATGGAATAGTTCTAAAGAACATGGAATATTCTTTGAGAACATGGAATATATATATATATATATATATATATATATTCTTTTGTTTGTGTTTGTGTTTGTGCTTGTTTGTGTCGGGTGTTTATTTTCACAGGTTTGTTGTGAGAGTTCTATGTTGTTTTTCTTTTACTTTCTTGGGGATAGCTGCATTGCATTGGAATCATGCATTAGAGTACTGATGATTAGGTGAATTGATATATATATATATATATTCTTTTGTTTGTGTTTGTGTTTGTGCTTGTTTGTGTCGGGTGTTTATTTTCACAGGTTTGTTGTGAGAGTTCTATGTTGTTTTTCTTTTACTTTCTTGGGGATAGCTGCATTGCATTGGAATCATGCATTAGAGTACTGATGATTAGGTGAATTGAAGACATGTTTGAGTACATGGATTATCAGAGTGAGTTTAGGGATAGGCTTTAAAGATTACCTTCATAATTTTTCATGTTCCTATTTTTCATCCATAAATTTGGGTTTGAAAGGTTAAATGAGTGAGAGCAATATTCAATGCGTTGTTTATTTTGGAAGTTATCACATTATTTTTACTAGGTGTATGCACAATTGGTTTTGATTAATAGAGATTAGTGGTGATTGTGGTTTAGGTGGAAAGGCCATGTAAGGTATGGGAGGTGATTAAAGTTTTGTTGTCCAATAAGATATGTAGGATGAAACATGTCTCCTGCATTCAGTTTTTTTTTATATAAGAATGAGGATAGTTTTTGCAATGACAATGGCTTGATGATAATCGAGTCACTTTGGACAACATCCTCTCTTTTTCCATTGCCTTGTTTTCTTTTGCATATTTCCCTTGCACAGGGTTTTAGTGTAGTTAGATTGGGAGGGTTCCACTACAATGATTGGCGATTAGTGGTGCCGAAAACCTGACTAGATTTCAAGCTGGTTGACTGCACTAAGAGATCCCTTCCTATTTGTTAGTCAATGGTCCCTCCCTATCAAAAAGTGATTACGGAAAGGGATCCATAGTTTAACGTAGGCCACCATTGAATGTAGGTCACTACCCTTTCCATGCTTTGTCATTGGGCTCTTTTCTCCTGGGAGAGTTATGTATTTGATGTCTTTTAACAAACGAGTGTAGCAGAATGCTCATTAAAGAAGCCATTTGATTCTTCAGAAATTCTTATTTTGTGCCCAATAAGATAGATTTACTATCGGCATATGTAAAAAAAAAAAAATATCGGCATATGTCAACCTTGTGTTTTCATTATTTATGCAGGTGAATTTGGTTTTACTTGCGTATGTTCTTTAGTGCTTTTTGTTTATGTTTTTCTTTTTCTTGAGATGATTATGACATGTATTTGTATTTTTAATCCTTTATTATTTTCTATTTATGCAAGGTACGAATATAGATTTTTTTTTGAGAAAAACTTTCTAATCCCTATTGTGTAGTATAATCTGATTTATTATAGGTTTGTGTTGGATTTGTTATTTCAAAGTTTGTGCTTAATCTTGAGCTTTGTATTAAGAATCTATGTTATCCTATGTTTTCATCATAAGAATTGATAATTTTAATCCTAGTAGCAAGAGTTATATTATGATGATGCTTGCCCGTTGACTACATTTATTCTAAATTTGAAAGGTCATGGATTATCTTTTACTCAATTTGTCAATAGAGAGTTGTTCGGTACTTAAATTGTTCTGTTTTATCTTTAGCTTTTTGTTTGTTTTGCAATTTATGTGACTGAAGGAGTGATAGAACATTTACAACTTAATTTTTTCTATCATTTTTCTCTAATTCTATCTGTTATTGGCGGATGATTTAAACCAGAATGCTGATAACTTGTTGTTTACTCTCATAATCACAGTATCCTTCAAATCTCGGGAAGACCATAGAAAGCAACTTGAGTTGGAAGAGGCCCGTAAAGCTGGGCTTGCTCCAGCTGAGGTTGATGAAGATGGTAAAGAGATCAATCCTCATATCCCTCAGTATATGTCATCAGCCCCTTGGTACCTTAATGCTGAGAGACCAGTGAGTTATTCTTGTTATGCTACTTTTGTTTTTACTAATTTTCATGCAAATTAAGTGAAACAATTGTATATATTTTCTATGATTTTATAGAGTTTAAAGCATCAAAGGAAATGGAAATCTGATCCTAATTATACAAAAGCATGGTATGATCGAGGTGCAAAGATCTTTCAGGCCGATCGATATAGGAAGGGCGCTTGTGAAAAGTAAGTTTGAACTATTTCTCCTGTGATTATATTCATTATCTATTTGCTTTTTTTTTAAAAAAATTTCTAGCATTTATTTTACTTTTACTAAGCTATCCTATCCTAGTAAGGAGTTGTAAGGGCACTGAGATTATGATGTTTATTGTTTAGGCTTTTGATGATCATGAGCTTCTTGTAATTTTGGATTTTTTTTTTGCATGTGTATTGTTGAAGCATGCATGATGCATCTGTTTCTATTCTTGTTTGTGGGTTTTTTTTTCCTGTTTATCTAATTACTTGTGAGAAGTGCTCTAAAAAGTTCTAGAAAAGCAATGAGTTAATAATGCTTTTATTCAAGTCATTATGAGTATGTATGCAGGTGCTTTTACTTTTGTTTAAACACAAGGTGGTTTGACAAGTATTTTCCTTTTATGATTGGATTACATTAGGATCAGCTTTAAGCCGATAATTTTTTGCTTTAGTCATGGATGTTCTTACTAGATATTTGCAAGAGGATGTACCCTGTTGTATGTTTTATGTTGATGATATTCTTCTTGTTGATCAAGACTAGAGAGGGAGTTGAATGAAAACATGAATTATGGAGGTTAACCTTAGAGTCTAAAGGTTTTCATTTGAGTAGATTTAAAATCAAATACATGGAGTGTAATTTTAGTAGTAATTGATCTAGTTAGGGGATTGTGATTTTGGACGATCAAGTCATTAAAAAGAGTACATGTTTTAGATATCTCGGGTCTGTTGTTCAATGTGATGGTGAAATTGTTGAGGATATTATTAGTAGAATTCGAGTTGGATGGTTGAAGCGGAGGAATGCTTTATGGCGCAAAATGTTGGCCATTAAAAGAGAAGCATAAAATTAAGTTAAAAGTTGCAGAGATTAAGATGCTCAAGTAGATGAGCAACTTTAATCTTAGAGACAGAATGCAAAATGAGTATATACGGGAAAATGTTGCAGTAGCTCCAATCACATATAAGATAGAGAGAGTCTCCTTAGATGGTTTGGTCACATAAAACGTCTGCCTTCCGATGACCCGGTTAGGAGCTTAGATGTATTAGATTTGGTCTTTGTCAAGAAAGGTAGGGGTAGATCTAAAAAGACTTGGTTAGAAAATATTAGAAATGATTTTTTTTTATTAGATTTAAATGAAAATTTGACTCTTAACCTAACACAATGGAGAAAAATGATTCATGTTGTTGATCCCACGTAATGGGATAAAGGTTTGATGATTTATGATGTTGTTGTTGTTTTCATTACTTTTTTATGATGCCTTTATTCATATACAATATTGTTTACATGTACTCTTATAACATTTTTTCTAAAATGTGTTGCAGTTGTGGCGCAATGACTCATGATAAGAAATCATGCATGGATAGGCCTCGGAAGTTGGGAGCTAAATGGACAAATATGCATATAGCTCCTGATGAGAAGATTGAAACATTTGAGCTTGACTATGATGGAAAACGCGATCGTTGGAATGGTTTTGACCCATCTAGTTTTGCTCGTGTGGTGGAGAGATTTGAAACCAGGGAGGAGGTTAGGAGGAAATACTTGAAGGAACAACAGATAAAGAAGCTTGAGGAGAAACAGACGAATCCGAATAATGAAGATATTGTTAGTGATGAGGATGATGATGAAGATGACTTGAAGGTTGATGAAGCCAAAGTTGACGAGAGCAAGCAGATGGACTTTGCAAAGGTGGAGAAGCGTGTTCGTACTACAGGTGGCGGAAGTACCGGAACTGTCAGGCATGCAATTTGTTGTTATTTATGCAATTTTTTCATTTAAATACTAGTATATTCTTTTAGTTTATCTGCTTTGCTAAGCTTGTAATATATATTCTAATTTTGTTTCTTATTTCAGAAATTTGCGTATTCGAGAGGATACTGCAAAATACCTTTTGAACCTTGATGTCAATTCTTCTTACTATGACCCCAAGACCCGTTCAATGCGTGAGGATCCTTTACCTGATGCTGATCCAAATGAGAAGTTCTATGTGGTAAATGTTCACAATTTTTTGAGAAAAGATTTATATCATATAGCTATTATTATGCCATTAAGGATGCTTTTTTAATTTGGGATTCTTTACTTACTAATTTCTTAAATTTTCCTATGTACAGGGTGATAACCAAAATAGAATCAGTGGGCAAGCATTGGACTTCAAGCAGCTTAACATTCATGCTTGGGAAGCCTTTGAAAAAGGGCAGGATGTTCACATGCAAGCTGCTCCATCTCAAGCTGAATTGTTATTTAAGAACTATAAAGTTATCAAGGAGAAGTTGAAATCTCAAAATAGGGATACCATTATGCTGAAGTATGGGAATGCGGCCTCAGAAGAAGCTCTTCCAAGGGAACTTCTCCTCGGGCAGAGTGAGAGAGAAGTTGAATATGACCGTGCTGGGAGAATTATTAAAGGACAAGTATGTTGTTTGTAATTAATCATTTTGGCTATTCATCTATTAAAGTTCCTTTTATAGTAGGGAGGATTAGATTTGCTTGACTTTCATTCTTCTATTATGTTGATTTGTTGTGCAACTTGTTCATATGAATTTGGAAATATTAGAATATCTGTTTTACTTGTTGAATTATATCGATTTGATATGCTATATATTTTGCTAGTTAAATCTCCTGAAAATAATATTGGCATCTTCAGGAGGTTGTACTTCCCAGGAGTAAGTACGAGGAGGATACCTATGCAAACAATCATACCAGTGTATGGGGTTCTTGGTGGAAGGACCACCAGTGGGGTTACAAGTGCTGTAAACAGTTGATTCGAAATAGCTACTGCACAGGCTCTGCTGGAATTGAGGCGGCTGAAGCTGCAGGGGATTTAATGAAATCCAACATTGCTCTTAAGGAGGCTACAGAAGGTAAGACTCTTAACAGATTTTACTTTCTTTTATGATCACATTATATATGTTCATTTGTTTTTTGAGAAGAGAGGCAGTTTGGAAATGATCAGGCAAGAAAGTTTTTATGTGCATTTTTTAATTAACTCTGAGACATGGGAGCCATTTGTTGATTAAGATTAAACTGATGAATTTGTTTCTCTGGTTGATTAATCAATCCAAATGCATTTTCTGTGTTTGAAGAATAGAAGAGAAAATGTTCACATGAAAAATGATCTAATAAATCAGCCCATGGGCTAGCTCGTGGGACTTGCCTGGATTGTGATTTATTCTTAGCCAAGATCATCAACTTAGCTTCCTAAAAAGAAGCCCAACCTTGGCCTATCGGAAATAGTAATATTTAGATGGTATCAAATAAATGTTGTGCACAAATTTATTGAACATCTTGATAACATCTATTTATATATGATCTGTATTAGCTGTGGGTTGCCTTGCCCATCCGGGTTATAGACATATGTATACTATTGTAAAAGCTATATATATATATATATATATATATATATATATATATATATATATATATTGCTTTGTCATTTGGTTAAAATCAATTCGATTTCTTGTATAAAATATGCAATTTAGGGAACATTTTTTGATTTTTTTTTTTCGAAATGCCTATTAAGCAGAGACCCCAGAGAAGCAGGAAGAGAAGCAGCTTGCTACGTGGGGAACTGAAGTCCCACAGGATTTGGTTCTTGATAAAAAACTTCTTGTTGAGTCTCTAAAGAAGGTTAGCATATCAATGTTTTTTCTCCCTCATTTTAATGTTGTTCAGTTCGAGTTGTACTATAGGGGGTGTTAATGGGCCTTTGCTTGAAAGTTGAATTTGAGCTAATTATTGAGTTAAACATGATTAAACACGAATGAGGAGCTTATTTGACATTCCTAATTGCATATACTGTTACTGGCTTCAATTATACAGGAGGATCAACGGAAGAAGGAAGAGAAAGATGAAAGAAAACGAAAATACAATGTCAAGTGGAGCGATGAGGTTAATTATCATGATGAGCTGTTGTTTGATCTGTCTCGAATAACCAAATTTTTGATCTCTTACATGATTCTTACTTAATGACGACATGCAGGTTACTGCTGAAGACATGGAGGCTTATAGATTGAAGAGGATTCATCATGATGATCCAATGAAGGATTTTCTCCACTAGTTAGTTCTTCCAAACCATCTTGCATTTTGTTTCATAAAGAAGCCCTCATATTCCACTGGTTCAATGTTGATCATTTGGAATTTGAATCATATGGGCTTAAGAGGTTTATTGTCATTTTATTTTTTGTATAAAAAACTTGTGAACTTAATGCAAATACAAAAATTATGTAAATAAAAACACCAAACAAGTTTGCATTTATATTTAGCTTATTATTTATTATTTTCTTTCAAATCTTCTATTGACGAGAAAGTTCAAAAGTGGAAGTCTTCTTTCCTTTGCACAAATATCTCTCCTCCCTTTCCATAGCCCTTCCTATAAGCTTTCTTTCCTTCTTTTTCTCCATTTGGTTTCACTGCACACCTTTCCATGCAACTGAAAACTAGTTTACAGTCTTCGCATAAAGAGCTTCATACAAGAAGAGAGAGAGAGAGAGCTTCATCAAGCTATTGGAGATTTTCTCGTATGAAAATCTTTCCACTTAAACAAAAAAAATAATTTAATGCAATTTCGAATTTGACAAAAGCTGTTGTCTTCATCTTTGTTCTCCTCTTCATGGGAGTCTTCATCTCTTCTCGCTGGTTCGACACTCATGTAAGTTAAGTTCTTCATCTTCTTTCCTTTCTTTCTTGTTCTCCTCCATAACCTAATGGATATTACCTTAATCTATCCATATGTTTCATACCAAACTAAGTAATTAGAAGCATGAGTTTGTTATCATCAAAATGATAATTTCTTAGAGTCAATACAAGAAGTGTAGATACTAATTCACATCAAAAATGTAAAATACTTAGAAAGATAATTAGGGCTTGGGATAATTGTTAGGGTTTGTTGTTGGAAAAAGACCAAATTCTTCTATTATGACGGGCTTTAAAAAATTTAAATTTATTTTGAGATGAATGCAATTTAGATTATTTATATATTGTGTTCATCTCAAAGCAGATCCAAAGATTTTAAAGTATCATAATTTTTTTCTTGATCGACGTATCGTGAGTTGTGACTAAGTTTTTCGTATGTTCTTAATTCTTATGGTTAGCTTAGTTTTTTAAAATATAATTTTGTAAGAATATTTTGATCCGAAATACATCAAAATGAGCTTTCAAAGTCCTTAAATTTGTGTATAGATTTGTGCAATCTGATACATCATTTACAACACTAACTTATCCAAAATCTAAAAGCTTAGAGCACATTTTTAGGTATGTTATATTTTACATCAGAATATTCTTAATTTTTTTTTTCTTTTTTTTTTTGAATGCTCTAATCTTAATTTGGTTAGCTAGCTAATTCTTATTAATTTTCCCTTTTTTGTCTTAACTTAAAAATTATTTGAATTTATGTGATTATAATTGGTATGCCCATAAATTAACGTTTCACTATTTATTGTCTCTTGTATGATTTTTAGGTCTTAGGAAGATTAAATATTTAATGACTTCATAAAAATTAATAATAGTTAAGTAATTTATTTAAATCGTAAAATTCCGCTTTATTATTTTTATTTTGGCACAATTTTGATTTAGATTTAAATTTGAAAAAAATTCATTTATTTATTTCTCATTTTCTGTTATTCAACATAAAATTAATTTGTACAAACTCCGAGATAGTTTGACTTTTAAAAATAATCATTAATTGCAATTTATGGTGTTATTAATTATTTTTATTATTAAAACTAAGAATATAGCAACAAATTTCTCCCTGATAATAAATAATATTATCAGAATAAACGGTCTTTAATCTTGACACGCTAAAAAGAGTAAAAGAAATCTAAAAATGACCGGGCCTTGAGGAATTGAAAGTCAATCACAATAAATTTACCAAAAAATAAATTTTAATGATATTATATATATATATATATATACACACACATCAACCTGTATCTGAAAATGACACAAAATTTCATTTTGACGTATTTGTTATTTTTGAAGAAATAAAGGCAGCATACTTATAAATATAAGAAATCTATGTACAAATTCCGCATTTCCTTAAAAAAATAATAAAAAAGTAAAAAAGTTCAAGATTATTATTTAAAAAAAGATCAAAATTTTATTTTGAAAAAATTAGTTGCCAATATAAGTTCAATGAATTAAACCTAAGTCATGTTGGTAAATAGACAAAATATAATTCAAATGTTTGAGTGAAAATAATCAAAATAGAAAATGACATCAACACATGAAAAATTATAAAAAAATTTGATAAAGCTCCACTCGCTCAATTGATGGCTACATTTTGTTGTTACTATTATACATTTTACTATAATATGATCATGAAGAATTATAATCCTAATTTCTTTAAAACAAAAGAAAATAAATGCCCCGTTCTAATTAAAAATTAAGATTTCTTAAAAATATAGTGTCATATATATAAATAAGGCTTATTTGTGATTGAAGGTACATAGTACATTTTCTTCCTAGGATAACAATTAAGCTCTATAACTTAATAGATTATTTAGAGTCTTCCAAAGAAATTTTCAAATTGATTTTTTATAAATTGGGTATTGACCAATTCAATTTGATCATTAATTAACTTACAAAATATATATTAATTTTCACATATGATAGTTAAGGGGCTTCCATAAGATGAATTAATAGAATGGCAATGACTCATACAATACACATTCCTTTCTATATACTTTTGTTGAAAAGTAAAATGAGCTAAAAATCAATAATCCAATGTTGAATGGCTCCAAAGTCTAATTTGGAATTGGAAAAAAATACTTAAAAGTAATGGCAATTATCTTATGGATCTTTTTTTTCTTAATATATTTTTTTATTCAAGATAAAATCATGATCCTCTTAAAGCTACAATTTGTTTATTTTATTTAAATTCAAATTTTGATATGTAATGAAGTTAATTATTACAATTGTTTTGGTGGTTTTAGTAATTAGTTTTGGGTTTTTAAATATTAATTAATTAAAAACTATTTTTGATTTATAATTTTGTGATTGATTTTAAAATGAATATAATATTTTTGAATGATTTTATGACTTTTCAGTTGTTTAGATTTAGTTTTGAATGGTTTGTTTGAATTAGTGTTTCAGCTTGATTTGGACAAATTAAGTTTAGATTACTAAAATTAGTAAAAGATTTGATGAGATTAAGAAAATATTATATCACATCAATAACCCATACCACATTAACATACACATTATTTATATCAGTTCAAACATAGAATTAGAATGTAAGATCAAAAGTGCAAATACAACATAATCCAATCATCCAAATACATACATATCATAAATTCAATGTTGAACATACCAATATAAATAAAAATGTATAGCATGTCATCATAGTTTCTCAAACTTATAAATCTCCTTTTCCCCATTAAAATATTTGATTTTTCACATCCAAATAGGATCACACATGTGACATACATTTGTTATGTTTAAAGCCCTAGGAAAAAACTGTCACACGGGTCGGCCCTGCTGAATTGATTGGACCCAACAACGTAACTTAGTACAAACTCCCATGGCTTTTGTATGCTCTCTAATGTCTTAGTATTTAGTTTCACTTAAAAAGTCACCACCCTTCCCCTTCCAAGTTGGAATTTTTATTTGGTTCGGTTGACCGGATGCAAGAAACATCCGGTCCTAGGCAAAAAACGCCTGTACCGAGGTGTATCGAGTTTTTCAAAAAAACTCGTTACACCTCGGTATAGGCGTTTTTTGCCTAGGACCGGATGTTCCTCTGCATCCGATCGGAGGACGTAATAATTGTCCTCCAAGTTGACAACTTTTTCCCTCGATGCCTACATGTTAATTGCTGATCAAAATACTAATATTGCATGTATTAGAACAATCTACCTGAATCTAGCACCTCCAATTGGTGGGTCCTTTTCAATATGATTTGCTGAACTCACCAAAAGTTTCACACGGATTCTTTAAGCAATTCATTTTGTTGATGCATTTCCTCATTGCATAATAATGAATAAAGCACTTCAAGACTGATAGGGTGAAGGGTTGTGCGAATGGAGGTCTTGAAGGAATTTAAGGCGGAGGGCAAGCTGTTTAAAATGTATAGAATTATATATTCAGTGTCCACTTGAGAACCAGCTGCCACAATATTATCTACTAGAGCTTTGATTTGAGTGAGGTATTGAGTTATGGTGTTATCACCCTTTTGGATATGATGCAACTCACTCTTTAATTGTATCACTTGAGTTGAAGTCGAAGCTCTAGAGTTATCCAAATGTCATGAGCTGTGGTTAGAGTGTGGACGTAAGGAAGAATTGAGGGTGATATAGTGGTGAAGATAGCTAAAACTAGATTTTGATCAACTAGTTTCCATAGGCGGGTATTCTGTGTAGTCTGGTAGAGAAGTGGAAGAAGAGATGGATTCAGGCGGGAATCGAAGACTACCAGTTAGATAACTTTCAAATCTATTTGCCGAAAACAGTTTGTATATTTGCAATCGCCAACTGGGATAGTTGTCATTCACAAGCTGAAGATTGACGATAGATTTGATGTTGGACATTAAGAATTTTAGAGAAGGCAGTATGTTGTATTCAACCATGGATGCAAGAATGGAGGAGGTGGGGTGGGTGCTCGTTGAATCCTGATCAACCATCATGAGGAGGGGTGGCGGTCGCCATTAATGCTCTGATACCATGTTGAATGCATGAAAATAATAAGCAGAAAATGAATACAGTAGGTACAATTTGTTATGGAGTTTGTTATGACATAGTGTCTGAACATGGGTATAATCGAATGGATGCATTCTAGTCATACATGTAGTTGTAAAACATGTGCTAACAAAGAGATCAAAAGATATATCATTTATTTTTGAGATGGTTAAATATGAATTTAATAGTAAATATATCTAGATTTATGTAGTTAGATACGTATTCAAAACTTCTTCTCATAGGTTGTTCACTACGACGATTTGACTATAATAATTGACAATAAAACATTCTAACTATCATAGCGAAATATACAATTGGATTTAATTTTGATTTTTTCGGAATCATATGTAATCCTCTCTTAAGTTTGATAATGATAGTCGAGATGAAATTTACAATTTCGTAATCGAAACCCATTAGAGAACGACATTTTCACCACCCGAGACACTCATGATGTTCATTTCGACTACAAAACTGAAAATCTAAAAGTTTATGCTTAATTGATTTGCGCTTTTCAATAAAAGTTAGATTAAAGAAATCTCATGCAAGCCCTATAAAGTACACAAATCAAAGGATATTAAAACTTATG